ATACCAATTGGTTGTTGGTGTAATGGTGATTGATAATGCATTTGGTAGAGAGTACCTGAGTTCGATCCCTCGCAACTACAATTAGGAGAGGTCTAGAACCTACCACTCTAAACTGATCCTCGAATCCGGATTAGCTCAAAGAATGAACCGGGTGAAACACCAAAAAAAAAAAATTATATGCTCTTATTCATTTATTATCAACATTATTAATTACTAGTTACGAATACAAAATACTAACTACGTATTAAGTACTAATTACTAATTATTAAGTGTTGATTAATAATTATATGTTACTATTTACTAATTGTTAATTAAAAAATTTAAATTATTAAGGGTCGTTTGGTTGGGGGTATTCAACAAAGGGAATGAGAATCTACTACCATGGATCCCTTTGTTGATGTTTGATAGACAAAATCAATCATTCCCTTTACCCCTCCCATTACCCCATTTTCCTCTATCTTCATTCCCCACCCCCCCCCCCCCCCCAAAAGGAATCACCCAAACCCCCAAATTCTTCTTCAGCAACTACCTTGACCAAATTTCTAACTACCTTGACCACCATTGAAAATACCAACTGACCACCGACACCACCGCCCAACCTCCAAAAACATCGGACAAACATCAACACCACCTCCCAACCGCTACCAGAATCACCGCCTAGCCACTGAAAACATCGCCCAAACACTCACCACCGCACAACCACCATCCTTCCCCACCGTAACCACCCAAAACCACCAAGGAAAAAAACCCACCCACACCCAAAACCACCCTTGCCTACCGAAACCACCCAAAACCCTCCTAGAAAAATACTCACCCTCCTCGAAACCACCCAAACCCACCCGAAAATAACCATACACCCACCACGTTAGTCGCAATTACCCTCAAAAACCACCATGAAAACCACAAAAAAACCCTAACCATCTCAATAAACAACCCAAACCACCCCATAAACAACCAAAACCATCCCATAAACAACTCAAACACCCAAATAAACAACCCTTAACACCCTAAAAATTAACAAACTACCAGATCTACGAAAAAAATGAGAGAGAAGAAGGATGGCATGGGTACGGCGCGGGCGATGGGTGTCGGAGTCGGACGATGGGTGTCGAAGTCGGCGGCGGACGGTGGCAGTGTTGGAGGCTTGAGGACTAACAATTGCAATGGTGGTGGTGGAGAACAATGGTGGTGGTGGATGGTGCTTCATATTTGATTCCCATTCTTTTTTAATAAAACAAACAACACATTATAAATGGGGGAGTTGCTTTCCTTTCTCTCTCATTCCCTTTCCTCTCTACTAACCAAACGGCCCCTAAGTACTAATAATTATTTATTATTAGTAATAATTACAGAGCATTAACTACTAATTACTACTACCTTCGTCCCTTATTGATAGTCCCTTATGACCAATTTTAAGTCCTAAAATGATAGTCTCATTTGTATTTTCCAAGTACCATTACGTAATATCTTACTCCATAATATTTGGATCTTTTACCAAAACGGCTAGTTTGACAAAATTATTTACCAAAACGGCTAATTATAAAATATAATTCTCAAATTAGCTAATTTATTAACTTGAAAGGAATTTATCTATTTCTTATTTCCTTTGAACCAGTGTGGTTCTTTTTTTTTTTTGGATTATTTTTATATCCTTAAAGACTTTTTTTAAGTTGGAAAATTTAAGCAGTATACAAAACTACGAAGAACGTAAACAGTCGCAGACTCGCATATCCCTAATTTCGATAAAAAAAATTAAAAGCCCTAATTTTTCATCTTGATCATATCAGTCACAAAAATTTGGAATTTCAAGTCTTATTGTTCTATCTAGATTACCGCAAATTTATATACATACAGCGATAAAAGGGATTTTAGGGTATTGTTCATCTTTTTCATGTCTATTAAATTAATTGTATACTCTTTGTTTATGTCGGCTAGTATGAATTTTTTTTTGTTTAATGTGTATGATGAACCAAACTTACATATATTTATTTCTATCTTTATGTGTTACAAAAAAACAGTTGTATTTTTTATTTCTTTTGTTGATTGGAAGTTTGGATCATTTTTTTGAGTGGTTGTTTATGTTGTATAACTTTTTCAAAAATTGTGAATTGCTGCATATATATTATGTTGATTGTTATTGTTCAAATTAATGGGATATTTTAAACTATGTCATTAGAATTTAAATAAAACCAAAAAAAAAAAAACCATAAAGTGAACCAAACGGGTTCAAAGCAATATAAAAAATAAATAGTATTCTTTCAAATCAATAAATTTAGCTAGTTTGGGAATTAAATTTTACAATTAGCCGTTTTGGTAAATATTTTTGTCAAAATAGCCATTTTTGTAAAAGATCCGTAATATTTTTCTACGTTTAGTGTAATGTTTACGTAATATCCTACTCCGTAATAATTTGAGCATTGTCAAGATAATTTAAAAATATATATATCATTCTTATTTTGTGAATACATCAAGGATACCTTTCTAGTTAAGTTTAGTGGGGCAATTAAAAATTAAAAACTGAAGAAAAAAAGTGAGTGAATAGATTAAATTACATGTTTGCAATCTGTAAATATATGTAGAAATTAAAATTACATGTTTGTTATCTGTGAATATAATTACGGACTAAATTATTTTGAATATAATTAAATACATGTTCGTTTCTTCTTATTTTCCGCGCACAGATTGTAACGATTAGCTCCATAAACCAAGGAATTTAGATCTCCTGCTTCTTTACCCAACAACATAGGTTTATTAGAGTAGACTTGGTTTTGGTTCAAATTGTGGCAAAAAACCAAGAATTTGACATGGTAAAACAAGTTAAACAACCACCGTATATTGCTCCATTTTTTACTTCCCAAAAATTAAGACACAAAATTTGTCCAACAATAAATCAAGATTTTGATTATTTCCCATCAAATCAAAAACAAAATACTCCCTAGGCCATAGAATTTACTAAATTACTAAAACATTAATGATTTTCCAATTCTTTATTTTCTTACAATAATTATTTACACTCGATGTATCTTTTTTCATAGAGCAAAAAACATTCTTCCTTGTGATAATATCTATGGTTTATCCTTCAATCTCCTTACGAATCAGCTTCAAACGACGATTGTGCATAACTTTTGTACAAATATTGATACAAATTGCACTTATATGGTCAATCATTCTCCTTTTTAAAATCCCAAAAGCCCCAAAATTTGAAGTTAAATCTGTGAATTTAATAACTCCCTTCACCGTAAAACAAATAAGTAACACTACTACACAAAACACTCTTAGCGTTGGCCTTAACATCACCTTTCGAATTGGTGACCCTAATCATGGCACCCTCAACAAAGAAGCCAATGTCTCGGTGTATTACCCCCACAAACATTTTTTCATCGCGGCTTCTTCGGTCCGATCATTTTGCCCTAAACACCGTACATGTAATGATTCCATTCTCAACAGCCGAGTACCGGTCATTATTAAGGCGTCTTCTGTCCCGGTGTACAATAACCTCACTGCTTTATCGATGGCAACGGACGTCAAACATGGACAAGTGAGCCTAATCATCAAGGTTACGGCGGACTATAGGTGGTATCACCACTTTCTAACGGAGTTGAATGCTACTTGTAATGATGTTAAGATTGGTGTTACGGCTGGGGTTATGTTGGGTGATTCTAGGCCTTGCCATGTCTTTTGGAGCATCATATACCTTAAAAAGGATTTGTTGTATTTTTTGTTTCCAATTTTAGTTATTAATGCATTGATAGTCTTGTATTGGTGGCTAGGTTAAATTATTGTTACAACTATAGTGGTGCTAATGCACGGAATATGTTATTTATGAAAGAAAACAACACAAATTGAAATGTGGGTAGTTATTGAAGTCTCTTGAGAAAATCTTATATATAATTTAAGAGTTCTTTTGCAATATATAACCAAAACACTCCCAAAAAAAAAAAAAAAAAAAAAAAAAAAAAAAAAAAAAAAACTCAATTCTTTTTTTAATTTTTTGAAACCAAACAACTCTCAATTCTCATGCATTATTTATTTAATTTAATTATTTATTTATTATTTTTTTTTTGGAAAATAACTTCCAAATAATTCCTACAAGGACTACAACTACAAAGAATTAATTTAAACAAATAAACATATCTTCTTTTAAAAAATAAAATCTATAACTTCCATTTATACTAATTTTTTCGTAGACAGAAAAAAAATTAGGAGTTTAGTGGGATAGGTAGCTATTAGCCTATTAATACCTAAAAATGTATTTGTTGTGATTTTTTCCCCATTTTTGGTTCTTAATGCATTGATATACTCTTGTGTTGGTGGCTAGGTTGGATTATTATTATAAATATAGTGTACTCATGCTAATGTATGTGATATGTTATTTATAGAAAATAAAGTTAAACAAAGTGAAATGTTGTTAGGTACTGGAATCTCTTAAAAATAAAGAAATTAGTGGGATAAGTGGTTATTGTTATTGGTTAGAAAAAATACTCTTCCTATTGTCATATGATTTATGGATGAAATCTCTTGGACATAAGTGGACTCTCGGTCTCTTTATCACGGGCACATCTCAAGCCTGTATTTAACATGGTATTAGAGTCATCAGGGCCACCGTTAGGGACCTTAAATGGCTTGAGTAATGAGTACATGGTCCAACTTATCCTATTATTTCAAAGGGAAAGCTAGTGAAAAAATGCAGGCTAAGGAGCCTACTTCTCTTATTGTATGTCATATGATTATAAGATGAAATTCCCATAGACTTGTAAGGTGAATTCTCTCTCTCTTGATGAAAAATGCAACTCAGGCTATAGTTAACACATCATCTCTTAAGATTTTAAGATAAAGGGAATATATTAATAACTTGAATGGCTTACAGAAGTATTTCTAAACCTTCCAATTGTGGAAAAGAATACTATTTTATTCTTTAATTCATATCGCTACATTTACTTTATCATATTCTTATTTGCGTTGTTTGAACATTACTTTTGATTGTAAGTGTAAAACAATATTGTCAAGATGAAGCTGCAAGCAGTATAAAAAGAAAACCAGTCCAAGGCAAAGATTTACACATAAAACTTACTTCATATTTTTCATTCAAAGTTTATATTATTTATTTCACTTTCTACGGGGGTACCTTGCAAGGCGCGGTGTACGTCGTGCTCAATCCAATTGTTGCAACTTCTTTCAGTTCTTTGCGGTTTACCGTAAGTCCCTACATTTGCTTTTCATATAGCTTAGATATGGAGTATTTTAATGTGTTGTCTTCCTTTTTATTAAGAAATTAATATGAACGTAAGATAAGCTTTCAATTTCATATGCTTTGATTCACTTTTTAGTTTTTTCCCCATAATATACTCCCTATAATTGAAAGAGCTTAGAATCGCTCTAATATCTCCCTTATATTGATCCTGTTTTCTTTATCAGGTATTAATTTAACTTAATTACTAAAATTATTTTAGTTGAACTGTTGAAATTATAAATAGATGAGAGGGGAGATTATAATACTACCTTTACATTAATTTGTATTTAATTTATTAGGAAAGATAATATTTGGGAATATTGTGAATAGATATTTTAGGAGATCTTGTGTTTATCTTGGGAATATTTTGGCCTTGCCCTCCAAGTTCCCTATGCTATATATTATTGTACATGGCTATTGAGATTGATATGAAATACAGAGAGAAATATTCATTATATTTTATCATGGTATCAAGAGCTTAGGTTTGATCCGATTTTTTTTCACATGTCATTTTCATAATTTACGAGTGAAAGGAGGGTGAGAGTTCACTGCAAATTTAAATATATATTTTTTTTTCTTCCCGAGAGAATTTGTGACAACCGATGACAGGGGGTGATGGTGGTAAGACGATCAAGGTGGACCTAACATACCTTCTTACTATATAATCGTACTATATAGCCAATATAGGCATATAGCAAGTTAGCAACATATGTGTATATAGAGCAAAACTAAGCAAAAAGTTAGGAACATATAGGCATGATCCCATGATCATTAATCCAGTACTACTTTTTTACTCTACTTATACAAACTTATAACTTAGGATAACATATTCCTTTACATTAGGAGTTAACTAACCACTAATAATTTAAAGCAAATATTCCAACACATAGTACCCTTAATAATTTAAGGCATGCTCTCAATGAAGTTAAATTATTTTCATGGATTAAAAATTATTTTCATCAATTCATTATTATTTAATTTATTATTGTTCTTTAAAGTATTTATTTAACTAAATCGATATTTTAAAAAAAAAAAATCTAACTTTCTTTTGTTGAAGTAACTATTTTACTAATTCAATTATATTTTTATTAAATACTCTACATGTTTCATAATTTTCTTGTTTTGATTGTGTACATTATCAATGCATTACTTTATTAGTTGCATATTAGTAAAAAATACGACAATTAAATATTGATAAGTTGTTCGTTTTAAACGAATTAAGTAAAACCCAATATAGTTACATTATGCAGCAATACATAAGACTTTCTTATCTTATTATAAATAATAATAAGCTTTTAAATGGAAAGCAATAAAGGAAGGGCGGACTATTATTTTTTAATGGGGAAAAAAATATGGCCTAAGTCCCACCAATTTTTATTTATTTATTTATTTTTATTTTTTTGAAAAAAAATCAACCCCCAAACTCAAAACACTTTACTTAAAATTTCCAGTTGATGAGGTAAATTGAATTTGATCAAAGATTGAAAGGTATAAAAACGATTTACAAAAGTATGGTTATTTTAAAACTTATTTACACTTTTGCGTCGGAATAAAACTTAGTTACGAGATTACTGTCCACGTAGGCTCGGATAAGTTTTTATTTTATTTTTTTTATTTTTCAAAGTAAAACCGCTACCTCAAGTAGCGGTTTATGTACTAAAACCGCTACTTGAGGTAGCGGTTTTACCATTCATAGATTGATTAAATGTCTCTTTACTTAGAGTACTAATGACAAACCGCTACCTCAAGTAGCGGTTTTGGACTATAACCGCTACTTAAGGTAGCGGTTTGTCACTAAAGAAAAAAAATTACCCCAAATGTATCTCCAAGCCTACGTGGACTATATTTTCGTAAATAAGTTTCATTCCAATGCAAAACCGTAAATAAGTTTCTTAAAAGCTATATTTTTGTAAATCAAAACTACGAGTATAAGGTGAAGCATATGTTATCATTTCTATGCTTCGAATGTTTGAGATTTGAAAAGTCTACTACATGTAGTGATTACGTTCAATACTTATTGATAAGTACAGTGCTTTGGAGTGAAATTGTTTGAATAAACTAGACCTATACTTACATTATACATTTAATACAGATGGAAAACAACACTCTACAAAATGAAATTATAACAGAGCAAGATGAAAACAACGGGGTGCTAACTTCAATGCGTAACAAGGTGGTATCGTTCAATGCTTCCATTAACAATTGTTGCATTTATAAAGTGCCTGAGCTTATGTTGAAGGGGTATGAATATTTTTATCAGCCTTTAGTGATGTCAATTGGTCCTATATACTATAAGGATGCAAAACTAGCACTCATGCAAGAGGTTAAATGGATTTACTTGAATAGCTTCCTTCAACATCCCGAAAATGCTAATCGAAACTTGAATACTTATGTTGATTATGTAAGGGGTAAGGAAGAGGAAATCCGCAAATGTTATCAGCAAGAATTTAAGCTCTCTAACGACGAGTTTGTTGAAATGGTAGTGCTTGATGCTACATTCCTGGTCTACTGTTTGTTGAGCTCAGTTTTGGTCGGGTTTGATGAACCTTTAGTTGTCTTTCACTGCCAAGCATTTAGAAGACGCAGGAGTGACATTTGTGGCAGGTGAAACTGACAATCCACTTGATGTTACATTTGCTAATGGGAAACTCGCGATTTCGAAATTAAAAATATATGATGAAACTCAAACTCACCTGCGGAACTTGGTTTATTTTGAACAGTGCCATTATTTGAAAGATACTTACTTCATTGATTATATTTTCTTCCTTGATGAATTGATAGACAATTAGACACCGTAGAAGACGTGCAAGTGTTAGTTAGAAACAAGATTTTCATCAATTCTCTGGGGAGTGATGAAGATGTTGTAAATCTTTTCAACAATATTGGCAAAAATGTAATTTCATCACACAAGGTTTACTCCAATGTCAGCAATGATCTGAATTGCTACGCTTCAAAACGTCGGAATCAATGGATGGCTATTTTGAGGAGCAAATACTTCAATCATCCATGGGCAATTATGTCAGTGATCGCTGCAATCATAATTTTTGTGCTTACTCTTTTACAGACTATTGCAGCTTTCATCTACAACTAGTCCAACTGCCATTGCTGAATGTTTTGAAGATTCTTGCCGATGTTGCCATGTCAGCTACTGCAATAAAATCACAGACTTGAACATATTCACCGTGTTGAGGTTTTTTTTTTTTTTTTTTTTTTCAAGATGCAACCTTTGATATTAGATCATAATTGTAACTTAATGTTGTATTTTGTTGTTGGTATTAATCCATAAACGCAATGCTTTATGCCTTCAATTCGGACTTTCGGAAATTAGTGACATATGATATGGTTTACGTAATTTTTTTATACTAACATGTTTTAGACATACCAAGTTGCTATCTTTATTTTTGAGACACAATATCTAAAGAAGTTCTAATTGGAGTTTTACATAATTTTAGTGGTGAGGAAGGTGGCACTGCTGGTGGAGCATAGGAAAAAAAAAATAAGTTAAAAAAAAAAAAAAAAAAAACTTTTAAAAGCCATATGAGTGACACGTGGGTGGTCAATGGTGGAGAGGTGAGTCAATGATAAAAAGTTAACATATGGTCTTTGCAATATTTTTTTTATTGTAATAGATTATTCCGTACAACTTTTTTTTTAATAAGATAATTTATTACAAAATCTAAATTATACTCCGTATTAGTTTAGGTAGTTTCTTTCAGAAAAGAAAAAAAAAAAAAAGACTTAGGTAGTTTCTAACACAAAAATTCCTAAATTACTTATATAAATTTTTGGTGCAATAGTAATTATATTACTCCTTAATACATTTATTATATTTGTATAAACGGAATATGAACATTAAGTACGGGTAATACGTATGAAAAACATTATGGGTAATACCCTAAACCCCTCTTGAATTGACTTACTTCTTCCGTTTCATACTAATTGTTAAAAAAAATAAAAAATAAAACAACTCAATTTTAAATCACCTAAAATGTATATTTTGTACATGTCTATATTATTATCTATCGTTTTCAAAAACATTAAATTTTTTCCACCAAATTGCCCAAGCCCCTCCTATATGACATCATTGTGAACCCCACTAGCTAATGGTTTTTTTCGACTTTTATCAAGAAGTATTGGGTGTCACAAATATGTAGTATATGTATCACATAATCAAAATAAAAAGTTGAAGGTTTTGTACTAGTTTGTACCCATGTTGTGGACAAATTATTTAACTACTCCCTTTGTCCCTAAATTATAGTCCTCATATAAAATTAACTCCATTCTTCGTTGGAGGATTGGCAAAGGTTAAGAACTATGCGGTTTCTTGAGCAGAGATTTAATTCTCTTGGAAAATCAGTTTCCCTTTGTCATACTCAAAAATCAGCATCAATATCTAAAACTGTTATATTTCGACAAAACTCCTTTTTTATTGGTGTATACCATTGAATAATATATATATAGTGTTTTAATACTAGTCTTAATCCTGTTAGGAAACCTAGTACGATAAGAATACAAACTATATCACAAATATGTACAAATATATCCTAGCTCTGCGACAAATATTATAATAATCCTATAATATCTATCAAAAACCATTCGGAACGTAGGTTTCCTTTAAGGATGCTACTCATTATTACATGGCCGATAATTAAGATATGATCTTTGGAGATGGCATTGATTGATTGATGTCAAAACTAGAATACTTTTATTGAGAGAACGAATGAAAAGTTTGCTCTTTATGCATGTTAGTAATATGATCCATAATCCTACATCTATCAATAGTTTAGCCAAGTATCTCCAAAGTCTGTGAAATTCGTGATTTTATTTACCAGCTCTGAACATATTTGGTTTTGATGTTTATTATTTAATTTTCATTCATAGGAAGCAATTGGAAAGAGTTTGTTGATATGGTATGCGGACGAGTAAGAAAAAAATGAAAAAAAAAAAAAAAAAGAATTAAAAGGTGGGTGAGTTTAATTAAAAAAAATAAAAAATCTATATATATATATATGTATAGTCATCGGACGACTATGGTCGACAACAATAAGAGATTAAATCATCAAGTCTAGTCATCAAATTATTAAGTCTTGTTTGGTTAAATTAATTTGTTCAAACGCTTTTTTTTTTTTTTTTTTTTGTTTTCTTTTATAAAATTGAATAATAATATCTTTCAAATTATAAATATTCATCTTCAACCTATATCATCTAAAACCTTCATGTTCAACCTACAACATTCATTCTTCTGGTTCAAATTAATTAAATTTTTATATTTAGTTTAATTTCATAAATTATAATCAATTTATTTATTGGTATCATTGTTTAAAAAATTGCTTATTATAATATGATTTTGTGTTAACATTTGATTAATCATATGATTTCAAGATTAATACAACATTGTTGAATGTTAAGAATTAATTTTCTGTTTTTATATTATTTATTTGATGATTTAAGAATTAATTTCTGGATTAATCGTATTACTTTGTGTTTAACTTTGATTACTCGTATGAAATCATGAATATTATCCGCCATTGTTGAACGTTCGAGCTATGACATGATTTTAGGTTGAAGACAAATAAAAATAAAAAATAAAACAAGATATTTTTTTAAAAAAAAAAACATAAATCAAGATATATAACCTGAAAGATGTGTTTCCATAATTTTAGCTACGACGTATTTTTTTTTTTTTTTTTTGTATAAACTGGCTATTTCTGTAGGATTTTTTTTTTTTTAATTTTTTTTTTTTGAAAGGAGTAGGCGTGATTTGGGGATATGAGGGAGGAATCTTTTCCATAGATAAAATCTTTCCCTATATTTTAATTATTTCAATTATGTAAATAAATAAAAATAAAATCTTAATATGAGGGAAGAATCTTTTCCATAGATAAAATATCATCCTACAAAGTATGTTAAATAAATTTTATTTAATAGTTTTATCAACAATAAATAGTTTTCATTAGCAATTCTTAGTTTTTATACATTGGTGATGGCGTACAGCGGTACAGGTACAAGTATTGACATACCTTTTTTTTTTGTAGTATGGATAGTTATAAGTTTATAACTTTATAAGAATATTCTTTCCCAGTAATAAAAATAATCTTTCTTGTTAAGATTATAATAATGTATAATAGATGAAGCCCGTGCGATACACGGTATGTTTGAATTTTTAAAAATAATATTTTTACATATATATTTATGTGCTAAAAATTGTTAAATGTTTAGATAAAATTCCTGATATTAAAAGATAATATATTATATTTAATTAATTTAAACTGGATTATCTCATTCACCAATTTTACTTACGTGTTAAATTATTTAATTCTAAAAAAAATTAATAATCTCATATTTAATTGGCTACCACTAAAATTTATTATCCTATGCGGCGCGCTGAAAAAATTAAATTCTACGTGACTCCCCTTTATTTATTTATATATATATATATATATATATATATATATATATATATATATATATATATATATATATATATATATATATAATAGTTAAATAACTTATCTTTTCCTAAATTTAATTGATTTACTTCAAAAAAAATATTTCTTTTCCTAAGTATAGTTGTTTCAATTAATAACATTCTTATTTTTTTATCCAAACATAAAAATTTTACTACATTTTATATTATTTATTTATCGATATACTATGATCAACTTTCTATTTATTATTTATTTTATCAAAGTTGAATATGGATTTATACGAAAAACTTTAGCATAAGAAGACTAAAAGTTATCACATACATCATACATGTGATCTATTTATGTTCATTTCAATGTAAATTGAATTGTCATACTAATATAAACGTTATGCAATGAAAAGGAAAGGAAAGGCAACATTACAATTCACAATATTATAAACTAATGTTTATAGTATATCTTGTGGTATATTCAATCTTTATAGTATTATTGCAGTCAAAGTATCCGAGAGTAGGGCTGGCAAACCCTGACCCGACACGAAAACCCGACCCGAACCCGACCCGAAGTTACTGAGAGAGACCCGAACCCGACTTGAACCGAACCCGAACAACCCGAATTCGACCCGATTTGACCCAAATTTCATATTTCGTAATAATATTGAGTTTTACACTATTTTTAATAGTTTCTAAGCATAACCCAAAATCGACCCGAAATCTGACCCGAACCCGACCTGCTGACCCGAATTGCCACCCCTATCCGAGAGTATGTACCTAAATTCAATCTTTATATTCAATCTTTTGTTCAATAAAATTATATATTTAAGTTTTTACCTAAATTAATGTATCTATGAATATTTCACCAAATTTATTTTAGATATCATGTTAAATATATGAATAATAACAATAATGTAATTAGGAATTAGGATGTCCCAAACGATCACAGTGTAGCCCCAAATAAAATAATAATAAAAAAAAGGTATGCTTTTAATGCATAAATATTCAAATTAGGTTGTTCGAATAAGTATTATATAGATCCATGAAGATATTTGAATGTTTATACAATCAAATTAGGCAATCTCAGTTAAGTATTATAGAGTCCCAATATAGTTTATATGTGATGGTTATTACAATCAAATTACTAAATTAGGTAGTCCCAATAAGTATTACAAAGTCTTAATTTGAAGATTATACAATCAAATTAGGTAGACCCAATTAATTATTGTAGAATCCCAATAAAAAATATTTAAAAGTTATTACAATCAAATTAGGTAAACCCAGTTAAGTATTGTAGAATCCCAATAAAAAATATTTAAAAGTTATTACAATCAAATTAGGTAGACCCAGATAAGTATTGTATAATCCCAATAAAAAAATATTTAAAAGTTATTGCAATCAAATTAATTAGGATATTTTATTTCTTTATTACAAAGGGAATTAAGCAAAATTGGTAAGATATAAAAATGAACATAAGAAAATGAAAAGTTACCCATAAGCAGAATTGGTAAATTAAAATGGAACATATGAAAATTATCAAAAGTTAGCCATAAGCTATCAAAAGTTACCCATAGTGTGTAAAACTATATAAACCATCTCTCTAAAAAGGTTGTATATTCCAGCGGTGTGTCAGTGTGTGCGAGAGATGTACAGTTCAAAATCTTTTAAATGATCGTAGCTTTGATGAAGGAATCCGTAATTTGATTCAATTTTATGTATTTGATAATTTAGGGCCTGTTCACATTTACTAAACTGAACTAAACTAAACTGAACTGATTGGAGCTGAACTGAATTGAACTGAACTGATTGGAACTGAACTGAACTGAACTGAGCTGAAATGAATATATTATGAGAGAAGGAAATTAGGAGCTGAACTGAACTAACTGAACTGATTGGAGCTGAACTGAACTGAGCTGAAATGAATATTTTATGAGAGAAGGAAATTAGGAGCTGAACTGAAGTGATTGGAGCTGAACTGAACTGAACTGATTGGAGCTGAACTGAACTGAACTGAAATTAAGTAAATGTGAACAGGCCCTTAGATTTCAATTGTAGATGCCGGATGACTTTTTATTAATGAATTGATTTGTTTATATATATATTATTTCATCATACCCTAACACAATGAGAATGTCCAATCATATTATTTGACACTCCAAACCAAAAACAAGGTTGATGCATGATAACTGTATAAAGTCTTTACTGTTAATTTAAATTTTGGGTACGTCCAAAATTAAATAAAGGATATCTAAAATCAAAATTTATGTATGCTATGGGTTATGTGTTTTATTCTACGTATGCTTAATCCGTTGCAAACAATATGAATAATAGAAATTGTTAGGATTCTCATCGTGTGTATGAATTTCGAAAATTATTCTTCGATTATAGGCAAACTAATCTATAGTCTTTTATATTGGGACTAACTAGTAGATGTTTTGGACCACCTAGTTGTGTTTTTTGTTACGCACTACGTACATTTGAGTATATATTTTAGCAAATTCAATTCCTAATTAAATCAAGATAATTAAGAGGGTTGCTAAACAAAAATCGTTATGTGATAGGCAATGTATTGGCCAAGCTAAGCAACTCTTCTTAGCTTTTAAATACGGTCTTTCTAGTTTAATAGGGTAGTTTTTCGCAAAATTCAAAGTTTAAAAGGTAGTTTTTCACAAAATATCCTTAAATATACTAATGCATAAGAAACTTTCTAGATTACATATAAAAATATTCTGAAAAAAGGATGCGTACAATATTTTTATATGCTACGTATGTTTCTACATACAAGTTTATTGCTTATAGTCAACTCTAATAAGGGTTGTATATGCATGTCATTACCCTAAATATAATAAGAATAAAATATTACTGAGCGAAGTAATTAAGTCAACACCTTTTTTTTTTTTTTTTTTTTTTTTTTTGAGGGAAGTCAACACTCTAATTATATTGCCGCATTAATGCAAACAAGTACTACAACTTAAATATATTAATAAAAAAATTTAAGTAAGCTTTAATTATGTCCTTTTAAATACGGAGTTAGAAGGAAGAATTCATCTCATTATAACTTTGTCATCAATTATTAGCTAGTGATTCCTCCTACATTGCTACTTTATCTCTTTCTCTTACTTGTATTAGTTTGCTCTGTGGTACGTGCAACTCTTGAGCTCCTGATATTATCTGGTACGTTTATTATTTCTCTTTCATTTTATATCATTTATTTGCCTACTCTTAAATCTTGATTGCTATCTTTACGTACTATAAGATTTAGTAATACTTTGATTGAATGTAAATAAATCATTACTACTTCGTTCATTTTCTACCCCTTCTTTAGAATTCCCATATATACGTATAATCATGCCAATCATACACTACTTGTTAACTTCCATTCTTATTTAATTGCTTGCGATGTTAGAGTTTTCACACTTGCTAATGTACATTCTATACTACTCGAGTACTCGTATATTACTATTCGAGGCGGCTACAGCTTTACAATTAGCCCTAAGTCCCCGCAATTGTTTTTCATATAATTTAAATATTAAGTATTTTAATATGTTGCCTTAATTTTTATTATGACATTATTATGAATAATGTAAAACAAGCTTTCAATTTTACTAAGCTTTATTTTTTTAGTTTATTTGTCTCATTTAGTTTTCCTTATACATAATATACATACTCTTGTAATATTGACCCAAGTAACCCCTAAGTAACCCATAAGCGGCCCCTATAACACTGACGAAGTAACCGCTAGATAGCTGAACGAGTAACCCCCATAACACTAACGAAGTAACCCTCTTAATGGATGGCCACATATAAGACTTTGTGGATTGAAGGAGAATCGCAATGATATCCCTTACATTGGTCTCGCTTTCTAAATCTGGTATTTATTTAACTTAATTACTTAAATTATTTTCGTTAAGCTTAAATTATTTTACAGTCTTTTTATTATATGAGTTTTATACAGTTATTGAATTTTTAACGGTTAAAATTATTTTTACTTAACTTAATAGTTTTATTTTTGAAGAATAAATTGACTTGTTTTCACTAAAATTAATTTATCTTTATATAAATAGAAAATTTAAGGTGATGTAAACAAGGCTTGTTTTCATCACTAATAAATGAAGTTAAATTATTTTTACACATGAAAAATATTTTCATTGATTTGTTATTATTGTTCTCTGAAGTTATTGAGTTAACACAATTTTTAACCAAATTAAATTCATTTATGTCAAAATAACCATTGTTACGAATTTAAATATTTTTAGTAACTATTCCCTCTATTTTATAATGTTATTTCATTTTGACGGTGTACATTTGTGAATGCATTTTTTTAACCATCAATAACTTAATTAATTGAATTTTAATATAATAAAAAATATATATATATAGTTTACATTAATAAAATACATATTAAAATGAATCAAGTAAAATTCAATGTGATTACATTATGTTTTTTTATATATTGAGAGTATTATAGAAGATTTTTTTTTAATAAAATAATAAATAATGATAAGATTTTAAAAGAAAAGAAAAAAAAAACGAAAGGAGTATATTGTGGAAAAAGGATATGGCCTTGTCTATTTACCAAAATTTTCTTACGGAGTAAGTACTTAAAATATTACCTAAAGAGGTTACGCATCGATCGATGTAATTAATATTACTTTTAATTTTCTACTTATAGGAGTTATAGCTAGCTTATTCAACGCCCTGAGGCGTTAGTTAACTTTTACCTAACATATTGAGAAAATAATTTGAAAACATTAGACATACTAACATTCTACAATTAATACAGATGGAAAACAACACAATACAAATTGAAATAACAGCGCAAGATGAAAACAACGGGGTGCTAATTTCAATGCATAAGGAGTTGGACTCCTTGAATATTTCCTTTAACCAGAATTGGTGCATTTATAAAGTTCCTGAATATATGTTGAAGGGGCATGAATATTTTTATCAGCCTTTAGCGATGTCAATTGGTCCCGTATTCTATAAAGATCCAAAACTAGAACCCATGCAAAAGGTTAAATGGATTTACTTGAATAGCTTCCTTCAACATCCCAAGAATGCTTGTCAAAGCTTGAATCCTTACATTGAATATGTAAGGGGTAAGGAAGATGAAATCCGCAAATGTTATGAGCAAGAAACTGGTTATAATAGGCATCATTATGTAATAGGCTGCGTAAGCGTCATCTCAAGGCAGAAACTGGTTATTATTCTATTCGTCATCTTTGTTACACTGCCAAGCAACTAAAAGATGCAGGAGTCACATTTGTGGCAGGTGAAACTGATAATCCACTTGATATAACATTTGATAACGGAAAACTCACGATTTCGAAATTAATAATACAAGATTCCACAGAATCTTACCTACGGAACTTGGTTTATTTTGAACAGTGCCATTATCACCGAGATTCTTACTTCATTGATTATATTATCTTCCTTGATCAATTGATAGACACCGTGGAAGACGTGCAAGTGTTGGTTAAAAATAAAATTTTTCGTAATCAACTCGGAAGTGATGAAGATGTTGTAAAGCTTTTCAACAATATTGGCAAAAATGTGATTGGTTCAAACAAGGTTTACTCCAATGTCAGCAATGCTCTGAATTGCTACGCTTCAAAACGTCGGCATCGATGGATGGCTATTTTGAGGAGCAAGTACTTCAATCATCCTTGGGTAATTTTGTCAGTGATTGCTGCATTCATGCTTTTTGTGCTTACTCTTTTACAGACTATTGCAACTTACCTCTACAAGTAGTCCAACTGCCAATGCTGAATGTTTTCCATATTGTTGCCGATGTTGCCATTTCAGCTACTGCAATGAAATCATAGGCTTGAATCATATTCACGGAGTTGAGGGTTTTTTTTTTTTTTTTTTTTTTTTTTTTTTTTTTTTTTTTTTGGTGTGTGTGTGTTTTATTTCTTTTCAAGATGCAACCTAGCTAGCTACTTTATGTAAATTTGATATTAGATCGTAATTGTAATAACTTAATGTTGTATTTTTGTTGTTGGTAATATAATAATACATTAATGCAATGTTATATGCGTTAAATTCCGAGATAAGTGACATAAGATATTATTTACCCTAATTTTTATTATACTACTTCCTCCGTTTCTTTTTAGTTGACACGTTTCTTTAGTCACGTTTGCCAATGCACTTATTCAATCATTAATATCTTTAATTATCGATAAGCAAAAATTATAAAAAGTTGATATTTTGAAAGTATATAACGTGACGAATCTAACAAGATCCCACATGACTATATTTTTCATTACGTATAAAGCACAATATACGGTCAAAAGAAGGTGGATGAATAGTGCTAAATTCAAAACGTGTCAACTAAAAAGAAACGGAGGTAGTAATATTTTTACTCATACCAAGTTTGATCATTAATACATTATTGGGATTTTTTTAGCAATAACAATCTACTATTGTTGTTGTTTTACAAACTATCACCTACAACATTTTTTTTATACTTGTATATATTATTATCTATAGTTTCAAAAACATTAAATTTTTCCACCAAATTGCCCATGCCCTTCCTATATGACATCATTATGGACCCTACTAACAATTTGTATCCAGAAGTTTGTTCATGTGTCATGCACATGTAGTATATCATCACATTTTCACATTATCAAAACAAAGAGTTTAAGGTTTTGTACTTGTGCTGTAAACGACTTATTTATTAAAATTAAACTTTAATTATAAAATTTATTACAGTGGGTGTAGGACTACAGGATGCACGTACTGCATAAATTTATATTAAATTATTAGAGTTGTTAATTAATTGATAAGTAGTAATCCATCCGTCCCTAAATTACATTCCTCCTTTCTATTTTTATTATTCCAAAATTACATTCCTCCTTTCTATTTTTGGTAACTTTTTTTTAGTAAATCAATTCTTTTTTTCTGTTTTATATTTAATGCTTTCTCACTCATCCTTACCTAATCTCACTCATAATCCTTGTGCCAAATTACAATGAATATGATTGGTTAAAAATTTTCAATTAAGAGCATGTGATTGGTCCTTTTTTTTTGCAAAGGATTGATGACATGTCATGAGTAATAACTAATCTATCTTTGTAATTCCCATTGCATTATCTAATTATTGTTATTTGTCTTATTCATCCCTCCTTAATTCCCGTGTAAATTTCCAAACATGAATGTAATTTAGGGACGGAGGGAGTACATAACTAAAAGATTTTAAACATTATTTACAAGTGATATGATTCACCCATCCCATAGACCATAACAAAAATGTACTACCTCCGCTTTTTATTACTCGCAACAAAGTACAAGTTTGCGGAGGCCGAGGCAAAAGATTGAAAGGGTGATTATTGAAAAATAAGGGTATATGCTTAACTATTAATCCTACCCAAAAAAAAATTTAACCTTAATTAAATTAAATAACCCACCACCATGACACCACCAGGCATCACCGCAACCAGCGAGCATCACCGGAACAACACACCACCACCACCCAGCATCACAGGGACCACCTACCACCACCCATCATCACCGACGCACCAACACCACCATCACCACTGACGCACCAACACCACCATCACCCTGACGCACCACCATCCACGAACCGAGCACCACCACCAACCCTTGAACCCACAGGAAAACCCACGAAAACACAAAAACCCTTGAACCCACCACCACTACCACCACCAGCGAAACCCACAAAACGCACAGATCTGGAAATCCCACAAAACCCCAAAAATCCTTGAACCCACCACCACCAATCAAAACTCAAAACCTTCAATCGAACCCAGAACCCTAATCAAACCCACAACTGAAACTAAAACCAAACCCACCAACGAAATCGAAATCAAAACCTTACCCTCAATCAAACCCACGAAACCACCACCGCACCCATGAACCTAACAACCACGAACAAACCTTCGATGAACCCACAAACCATTCTCTATCATCAATTAAAGCTTTAATTGTGCAAATTTTATCCATCAAAACTCTTCAAATCTCTAGATCTAGAGTTTTGATGGTTAAATTTGACAAAAAAAAACCTTCGAATTTGGGTTTCATAGCCAAATAAGGAAACAAAAGGCAAAGGAAGAGAGAGAAAACAAAGGCGGCGATGTAGGTGGTGGTTTCCGTTGAAGTTGGTGGTGGTGGTGGTCGGTGGTAGTGGCGGTGGTGATGGTGGTTGTGGTCGGTGGTAGTGGTGGTGGTGATGGTGGTGGTGTCCATTGAAGGTGGTGATTATGAAAGAAGATGTTGGATGTAGATGGAGGGGAATGAATTAGGATGAATATGTTGATAAGGTGAAATTAATTAACCTTAGAGATTAAGGTAATAATTAAGAACAAATTTATAATTTAATTAGGATGTTTATAAAAAAAAGTAAGGGTGAAATTGTCATTTTATGGTCAAAAACTTACTAAAAAAAGGAAAGAAAGTAAGTTGTTGCGAGTAATGTGAAGTTTCCAAAAATGGAATTTGTTGCGAGTAATAAGAAGCGGAGGTAGTACTTCATTTTTTTAACTCATTCAACTTTACATACTTGTACTCTTATACGTGTATCCCCTATTTTTAGTATTTTGTATATTTGTTATATACTCTCTCCGTTTCAAAGTAATGTTTCTGTTAGAATTTTTCAATGTCAAAAATTAAATATTTGACAAAAATGTTGGAAACATCCAAATATGACATAAAACTTTTATAGATCCCATAAAAATTTACCCATACGTGCGGCCATGGCCATTTGATTAGGATTGGGCTGCTTAAAATTTTGAAACCCAAAAGGCCCACGTCACCAAAGCACAGCAAGCCCAATTTGTAGCCATGCACGTGCTTATAAGAGTTTTCAGAAACTACATAGCTCAAATTTTCCTCCAAAAATCTCTAATATGCTTCGCGTCAAAATCATACTCAACGAGATCTTCAATTCTTCACATTCATTTCTTAGTTTATCACGACTATCTTATTAAGCGTGATTACAAGTACCTATTCCCTTTAAACATACATAAAATGTGTGATCAAGCAATAAAAATAAATATCAAGCAACATAATAATCAAAATAAAAACAATAAAAATATAATCATAACAATCATAATTAAAAATAATCAATAATAATAATTATAACAATTATAATCATAAAGAATAAAGAATAATCATAATAATAATCAAAACAATAATCATCATAATAACAATCATATTAATAATAATAATAATAATCATGTTAAAGCATAGCAAGATCCTAGGCATGATACTAACAAGATTAATAACAAACCCTAGCATGTCACTAAGCAATAAAAATCAAATCTTTAACCCTAACATGATACTAACAATCATAAATATTAGGAAGAACATAGGAAGCATCATACTTTTAATCATACTTGATATTAAAGTTACCCTAGACATGATACTAGGAATCGAAATAACAATCTAAACATGATTTCTACATAATAATATCAATAAAAAAAACCATTAAAATACTTACTTTGATGCCTCGTACCTCTTTCTAATAACAAAATACACGAGTTAGTAACTTCAAGGAAAATAATAAACAAAGCAATTAAATTAAATAATTCAAAGAGAGATTTGGGACGAAACCCTCAAAAATTAAACCTTTCACGTCTAGAGCGAAGGCAACTTCGAATATGGCTAGGTGTTTCTAGATCTAATGAATGCGGAATTTTTATATTTGAGAAAAGCTAGTTTAGAAAGAGAGAGAGAGAGAGAGTTATCAAGAGAATCTTGATGAGAGTTGGTGAGAATTGGTTGTAGGTCAATGAAAACGGAGTTTTTACGACGTTATTTATAAAGAAAAATCAGCCAAAAAGATAAAATATCAAAACAGAGTCCGGCGCACATGAAACAAGGTTGGCGCCAACGCTGGCTATTGGCGCCAGACGCTGACCCTGGCGCCAGGCGCCAAGCGTACCGCCAGGCGCTACAGCTGGCATTTGGCGCTGACCTGGAAATTCACGCGTTTTCCTAAAATCAGATAAAAATTGCCGTACAGGAGGATAAAATCGTATTTCCCTCAAAAATGCTCTTTGATTTTAATTAAAACTCTGAAAAGTCAACAAAAGTCAATTTATCAATGCTAATTGAATTAGGAATGAAAAGAACCTTCTAGAAGAATCTAGAAGACTAAAACCATTCCTAATTGCATTAGGAATGATAAATCTATATTAGGTCCTCCCCTAAATCATTGGGCCGCATATAAGGCTCAAAACGGGCCCAGTTTAGTAAATTGGTCATAACTTCCTCAACATTCATCGGAATTGGGCTTATAATATATCGTTGGAAAGCTCTTGTCAAGCCCCATCCAACTACACTACTATCGGACCCATATCATGGACCAACCAAACTGGATTGGCTGTTTTCTTAAAAATAAGTTTTCAAAAACAGAAAGAAGAGAAAAGAAATTAAAACTATTCGCAACACTAGACTTTCCACACTTTCACTTCATTCAATTATGATTCGACGTGAAAGGTACTCATCCCTGGGTTTGGTTTTGGGGAGACACAAATGGGTGTTTACACACATGTTAAGAGTTAATTAGCAAAAAAAATAAAAAAAATCAGTAAACCCCCTTCCCTTCCCTGGCCACCCCAGCCACACTGTCCACCGGAACCCCAGCCCCAGCCCCATCGCCCACCAGGAAACTAACAGCCTTCATCCCGCCGGTCAACCGCCCTATTCCACACATGCTACAACCACAAATAACAACAACAAACACTAGCAGCTCAGCCTAAACAACCGCCCATCCCGCAAACACCAAACAACCACCATCATCACCAGCCTAAACCATCAGCCGCAACACCCATCTCTACCTCAACACCAATTTACCACCTGCAATTAGCAATTCAATACCTAATTTAATCAATTTCAGCCTCCAATAGCATCAACAAC